AAATTGGGCAAGGCCCCATGATTATATAAAAATTTCCTTACAAATTACATTTATATATAATCATGCCTCTAATGCTTTTAAAAAATTTAATATTAGAATTAAAATATGACTATTGATATACAATCTTTGAATATTAAATATTTTTAATATAAGAAAAACATATTAAATTATGGTAATATACACAAAGTTTAATTTTAAATTCTAATTGAAATTAGACCATTTTTTTAAAATAGGGAAAAATTGACTTTGGATGGGCTATGCAGTTTTTGTAGATTCTATTTGTGCTAAAATATTTTGAGTATAAAGTAATTAAAAGTAATACAGGAAATTCAAAATGATGAAAGATTATATGGATGAAAAATAAATTTAAAGCAATTAATAAGTAGATTTTTAATGTTTCTGAAAGTAACTACTGCCCTTTTTAAATCCCATAGCGATGAGGAAATGAAAAGAGTATATATAAGGAGGATTATATAATACTCACGCATAAGCTCACTGATCCAACTATAAAGCTCAATGCACACCTCTAAAATTGTAGTGTTGGAATAACAAATCCAATGAATACAATACATGTCTATTAATGCAAAATTTTAAATTACAACATAAATTAAATCTGACATATGAGTATATTTACAATTATGATAACTTAACCAAAAAAAAAATTCAAATAACAGAATGGTTGTTACAGAACATTGTTTGCAATTATTCATGGCTAGCTTTGTAACAGAAAAAGACATCGAGTAATAGAATGACTGCCATTGACCCCCCAAATCCCACACCAAATAATATTGCTAATACAATCATGTAATTTATTTTATTTGGAGATTTTTCACCCAAACTAGGAGGTGATGTGGTTGTATTTTTTGTTGCTAGAACTGACATGTTGCAAAAAAAGAGATGTAGTCCATCATTTCCATCAAATGAAGTGTTTGTAAAAAGAACATAATTGACCTCCTTGTGGAACTATTCCAACCAACTTGTTGTAGGAGAGGTTTAAATATGATAAGAAATATAATGAAGCAAATTCATGTGTAATTTTACCAGAAAGGTAATTCCTTGAAAGATCTAATGACTCGAGCTGTACCAAATTTCCTAATTCTGGAAGAATTTCACCCGTCAAATAGTTTTGTGACAAGTTTAGTACTTGAAGAGAGACAAGTTTCCCAATAATTGAAGGGATCTCTCCTTCAAAATGATTGTTGGAAAAATCTATTGAAATTGCATAATAATTTACTAGTGTCATTAGTTGCCCCTTAATCATGATGGTGACCTCATATAGATGATTACTCGTGTTTATAATTATTCCATTTCTTGTCATTGACTTAAAACTTCTAAAGAACTTTGTCGATAAATTTCCACTAAAGTTATTTGAAGAGATGGCAAATACCTGTATCGTAGAAAAAGCATAACTTGTTTCATAGCTTCCAATAGAAGGCTCAATTAACCCATAGAATTTATTAGATCTTAGATCAAGGATACGTAGAGAAAGCATATTTCCTAACCAGTAAGGAAATGTGTCCTTCAAGTTATTATTCCCCAAGTCCAAATATCTAAGTGATTGGCAATTAGATAGAGACCTGAGAAGCAATCCCTTTAATTGGTTGTCTCTCAGATTTATGATTTCCAGCTTACATTCTTGACTTATTCCATGATGTATTGCTCCATGAAGTTGATTTCCTTTAAGATTTAACACACGGAGATTGATTCCACCTTCTAGCAAACATGGTGGAATAGTACCAGTTAGCTTATTTTTAGATAAATTAAGCATCATGAGTCCAGTTAAGTTGCAGATAAATGGTGTAATTTCTCCAATCAGGTTAGTATTCGCAAGAGAAAGCCAAAATAAATGAGATTGTGAAATAGTATAGGAGGGGAGCTCAAACCCCCCAACTCCATTGAACTTGTTATATGATAGATCCAAGTACTCGAGCTCTGATAGATTACCAATGGAAGATGGCATTGTACCATAGAATTGACAACTTGAGAGGTCTAAAAATGTCAAAAACTTAAGGTTGCCTATTGCATCAGGTAAATTCCCTGATAAATTGGTATTAGAAGTGACCAAAGAATTTAAAATATTGTACTTTGGAAAATCAGGAAGATTACCGGAAAGCATTGGATTATATGAGATGTCAAGAAATTTCAAATTTCTCAGTTGAAATATTTGATTGGGAAAAAAGCCTTTGAAATTGTTTTGTTGAAGGTTAAGGTAAGATAAGGAAGAAAAATTGGCAAATGAGTCAGGGATGTTAGAGTCCAAATTATTATGCCCAAAATTGATAATGGATAAAAAAGGGAGCGGGAGCATGGGTAGAGAGGAACAAATGGCACCAAAAAGGGAGCATTTATGCATGCTTAATATCTCAAGTACAGGGGTGGAATTGACCAGAACACCACACCATTCATCCCGATATGATGAGACATTTAAATTTTCAAGAATAAGCTCCTTCAAACTGCTCATGTTTTGCAAAATCATCGGATTAATAGCTAAAGAATGCCTAGAACTGCTGGAGAGGGTGAGGAAAGTCAATTTTGTCAAGCGAGATATACTAGTAGGAACCTTCCCATTAAATCCAGTACGAAAAAGATCAAGGCTTGTAAGATTTACAAGCCTATCCCACCCAAAGTCTGGAATGGGACTTCCATCAAAGTTATTGAAGGAAAGATTTAGAGTTTTTAAAGATGTGAGATTGAAGAGGCTAGGATTGATTGTACCGGTGATTAATTTAAGCTCTAGGTTTAGCCCAATGATCCTTCCATATTCATCACATGTCACGCCCTCCCAAATGCAGCAGTTTGTTCCTGATTGCCAGGACTTTAGATTTCTGGAGACAAAACCTTTTTTTAGCTGCAAAAGTGTTGAGTTCTCTACTTCAAGGCATTGGCCAGTAGCATCACAGATGATCAAGAAAAGCTCCATAAAGAGAAGCATGTGGAGGAGGACAATGAACTTGAAATGAAATAGCTCCATGAAGAAGCTCATAGCTCTAAACAAAATGAAGCTTTAATTGGAGAAAGTAGAAGTCTTGAGGTTTGATCTGAGGCAAGGCATTCTCAGGACTCCTCAAATTTAAATTGGCAATGGTTGATTTAAATCAGTTTTTTTTATTAGTGGCGGAGTCGACAAAGTGGTGACTTTGGTTGTTTGTGGCCATCTCCAACTCCCAAGTGATTCATAGAGTGGCTTGCAATGGGGTGATTTAAGAAGTAAGCAATTTCATCTTATCAAAAATAGATTTAAAAATTATATTAATGAAACTCCATATATTGATAAGGACACGATAGATCTTGTAGTTAGCAATAGGAGTACAATCCACTTAAGCATTACTAAAGGTGATACCACTAACTAGTTTATCTTCCTTGGCGAATGTAATATGAGTGACCTAAGCCATTGACATTCGAAAAGTAATCATTGAGTTAAGCACACATAAAATTATCTCTTGAGACTTACTCAATGAGATTTCCTAGCTCCATCTCATAATGAGAATAAAAAGCATTAACCTATGATATGGGTTGCAATAGAGAATAAGCTCATTTTCCTAATCTTTAATTTATCCTTTATTTATTACCTACCTGATTCTTCATGGATGAATCTCTTCACATTTTCTTCCTCAATTAAGTTCTCCACCAAGATACAGATTTCTTGGCATTCCTCAATGTCATGCGAGTCATCATTATGGAATGCAAAAATTGTCTAGGTGTCATTGACACGTGCACCAGTTTCATTGACACCAAAATCATAAAGAACCTCCTATTTTGAATGGCCTAAACTAATTCAGATATGAATATGGGCTAGGGAGTTATGGTCAAGGTAATAATGATTGGATGTATCTATTCAAGTTTGTGTAAGAGAGCAGTGTGTAGTGCATCCACGCACCATTAGTGGAGTGGGTTGTGCCACGATCCTCAATATTCTCATCAGTAAAGGAACCCTCTATTGGTTGTAATAATGTATTACATGTTGTGTTTGATGCCTTCTCCTAGTTCATGGG